CAATGTACTGATTGTAATAAAGGTTCCCCAAGGCCTGAAAATTATTTTAGTGGCTCCTCCGGTAGGAAGGAACCAGCTTTCTCAATTCAGAATGCTTTCTTCCTTTCTGAATTGAGATGAGCAGTGAAACGTCTTCAAGAAAAATACAGCAAGTCCAGTTGCCTAGATCTATTTTTGACAGATATACCATGACCTGGATGAATGAGAACCTTCACAGACATGTCTGGTACCCACAAGTGAGCCTTGTTACGCTATGGTAGAGGGGGGCAAAACTCTTACTGGCACAATCACTAGGTGACATTACAGCAAAAGCAAGATTTCAGGGAAGAAAAATCCTGTTTTCTCCATAATGTAGGATAATACATTTCAGTTCTGGGTTTAGATACATTTTGAAGGGTCAGTACACCTAGCAGTGACAATTTGGCTTAAATTGGCCCATGGTTTCTTATGTCCTGGATTATCTAACAATGAGACCCAATGCTGTTCCTGTCTGAATTGGGAGTTGTGGGTCTCTCGTCCACCTTTTGCTTGTTTTGACATCTTCTGTTGCATTATCTTTGACAAGAAAGTAATTAAACCCCAACAGGGAGCTCGGGGATCTTTTTGCAGCTCTAACTGCAGCTAATGTTCATTGTTGAATCCAGATAGCTGTAGCCGGGGGCGTAACTAGAAATCACAGGGCCCCATAGCAAAATTTTGTATGGGGCCCTGTGATTTCTAGTTACGCCCACCTGATAACCCAAACAGCACGTCTGAGAGTGACCCTGCAGAGTCCACCATAGACTGTATGGTGGGCTCTGCTGGGTCTCAGGTGGGCTGGTCAAACCCTCTTACCTGTGAGCCCCGATCCACTGTCCGCCTCCTCCTCCACGGTCGCTGGCGGGCCCCGCCTCCATAGCCGGGCCACGCCTCCTCCACCACAGCTGCTGGCTGTCACTGACTCAGCAGCGGCTGTGAGGAGGAACGCACCGCTGCACACATCACTGACAGGTTGTCGGTGATCTGAACAGTGGCGTGTTCCTCCTCACATCCTCCGGTGACAGCCAGCAGTCTGAGATGCCCTAGCGGCCCGCACGGCTTCAGGGGGATGTCCTAGCCCTGCCCCGGGCCCCACAGCGGCCGCCGGGGTTGCTATGACGATTGTTCCTCCACTGGCTGCAGCGTTAAATTTCAGCTGTGACGGTTTGCTAGAAGCTTCTTATTTCTTGTATGTGCATCATGTCAGTTCATATGCGCAGGGCACTTTGGCTTAAGTGCTGGACTGTGGACTTTGTAAAGAAAAAGTGTTTGATCTGCATGGCCTTAGAGCAGTGATGGCGAACCTTGGCACTCCAGCTGTTTTGGAACTACAAGTCCCATGAGGCATTGCAAGGCTCTGTCAGCCACAGACATAACTCCCAGAGGCAGATGCATGTTGGGATATGTAGTTTTGGCACAGCTGGAGTGCCAAGGTTCGCCACCACTGCCTTAGAGGGACAGCGTTTCTTTGGACCACCTCCTGAAAACACCTTCAAAGATTCTACTGGTGGCAGGAGCACCCACTTTCCTCAGCGAGAGAACCCTGAGGAACACTCTTCTTCCTACTTATCGTTTAAGAACTGTCCCTTTTTGTTTCTCCACTTCCTCAACCCCCGTGTCGGAACCCCTTCTCTAAGCTTGGCTCCCTGTCTTATGCACGGACTGGCACTCAGTCTGCCAAATCCCTAGACAAGCCTTCAGATACAGTACAGATAACCTTAAAACGTTGTCTATCCCAGCACTCCCCAGCTATGCCACTTGTCTGTTCATGAGCTATGGAGGTCTTTGCTGTGGGGATGCCTAGTGCCTCTCCATTTCCTATTCATTCCTACTGTCGTCCTTTAGGGCCTGTTCACACGACGTCCGTTTTTGGTGCTGACCTGATCCGTACGCTCCTCCACTAAAAATGCATCCCAATGTATCCCTAAGGCTGGGTTCACACCTAGGCTTATCGAATATGTGCGTTTGTCGCTTTTCGCGACAAACGCGCGTTTCCGAGGACTACTTGGCTGTATCCCAATGGAAACGCGCGACAAAAACGCCCCAAAGAAGCTCCTGTACTTCTTTGGGCGTAGGACGTTTTGTAGCACGTTCATACGGCCTGTAATACGCCCAGGTGTGAACCATACCCATAGGAAATAATGGGATTTCGGTGTTTGAGCGTTTTGCAGAGCGTTCGAACGCGCTACAAAACGCCCGGGTGTGAACCGGGCCTAAGTGTTTTATGGGCTACAGTTCTCATGTGCACAGTCAGTAACGACAGTAAAAATACTGCATGTCACATTTTGCCCGGTCAGGAAACGGTCCAGAAACGAAAAACGCGGCAAAAACACATAGCACCGCGTCTGCAGATCTGGACCTGATCAGGACCTGAAAATCATGTGAACAGGCCCTTAAGGTCAGAAATCAGCAAGCCTTCTGTATTTGTTGGCATGCTGTGTAACCTGCTTCATATCCAGCACACATTCACTTTGTCAATCTGTCTGCATCCTAACATGCGTCTCTATATAGAAACAGACATTCCTGTTCTGATGGGATAAGGATACAGAGCTGCTTTTGCTTGTTCTTCCACATTTCTTGATTCTCAGAGTCAGCATGGCTGCTTTGAAGGGAATTTAAACTCGTGCATTAAAATGTTCTCTGCTGCCTACCTCTAAATCTAAGAAGGCTGAAATACTTGCATGTTTGCCATACCGGTCTCCATGCAGGTTACATTGGTAGTGTCCCTGGCTGTGGCAAGGGACTGGCTTTGTGTGTGGCACTGATTAGCTGTCGGCCAGTTTATAGTAATGCCTGACATAGAAACAACAATTCGCCATGCCTACACTCTGAAGTATCTGATATTAGTCTGATGAAACCCAGAGGGAGATCACTGCCGTGGTGTGAACTGACTTTCTTATTAAGAAGACAAACTGCCTTGCCTATGCTTTGGGCTGCCCAGTGCAGCCGATGATAACAGGCCCTAAGAAGTAGGTATATTAGGGCCCTTGTGCGACGGAAACAGGAGCGGGAGAGGGAAATTGTGTTCACCGGGTTAGGTCCCCAGGGACATTACTAAATACATATATGGGAGCTGTCTTACCTCGTCGTCGCGCGATTCCGAAGGCTACTTGGCTGTATCCCAATGGAAAACGCCCTCCAAAACGGCCCAAAGAAGTACATGTACTTGTTTGGGCGTCAGCCGTTTTGTAGGGCGTTCAGACGGGCGGAAATACGGAAAGGTGTGAACCAGACCCATAGAAAACAATGGGATTTTCATGGTTGTACGTTTTGTAGAGCGTTCATAGAGCGTTGAACACCCAACAAAACGGAAAGGTGTGAACGGGGCCTTAGATTTACAGAGCTTTGACATGCAACACAGCCCTGTCTGGCAGGGACGGGGACCTAATTTTTCTCTGCCCTAAAGCCCTGCCCCTGCTCCTTCTATAATGTGATAGATCACCCCAGCAGCACTGGAGCCCTGCCCCTGCTCTTCCTGTAATGTAATAGATCACTCAGGCAGCACTGAAGCCCCGCCCCTGCTCTTCTTGTATTGTAATGGGTCACTCAGGCAGCACTGAAGCTCCGCCCCTGCTCTTCCTGTATTGTAATGGATCGCTCAGGCAGCACTGAGGCCCTGTCCCTGCTCTTCCTGTATTGTAATGGATCACTCAGGCAGCACTGAGGCCCCGGCCCTGCTCTTCCTGTATTGTAATGGATCACTCAGGCAACACTGAGGCCCCGCCCCTGCTCTTCCTGTATTGTAATGGATCACTCAGGCAGCAATGAAGCCCTGCTGTTCTGTTGAGAAGTATGTATAAACACCCCATCACCAGCTGTACCTTGAAGGAACCAGTGACAAACAACTGTTCTGCAGAGACAGATTAGCCAGGGGTTTCCTGTTGAAGCCATATACATGGTAATTGCTCCGTGGTCACCCTGAAGATCCTGTCTATCCATTACAATCTGCTACAGTGCAAAGTAGCTGGAGAGGTGTCTAGTTTGCTACAGGATTTCACAAGTGACTTACAGATCTGTATGTGTGTAGGAGAAGTGATTCCCTTACATAGAACCCAGGGCTGGACAATCTAAGGAGCCAGGTAGCCAATGCTCGTTAAAAATTAGCTGGCACTAAACTTTGTCAATGGAACTGGCCCCTAAAAATATCTGCTGGCTCTTGAATTCCATATTAATTTGTCCCCTGATATAACCAGCTTGCTTTTTTTTTTTTTTTTATTATTTTT